TTTTTTTTTTTTTTTTTTTTGAGACAGAGTTTCTCTGTGTGGCTTTGGAACCTGTTATGGAACTAGCTCTGTAGGACCAGGCTGGCCTTGAACTCACAGAAATCCACCTACCTTTGCCTCCTGAATTTTGGGATTAAAAATCCTGTGCCACCACTGCCTGGCAAACAGTGTTATTTTAAATTAGGATATACTTTATGAAAAATGTTATTGAAAGGCAACATTTAACAGTTTTTAGTATTGAGGTGTTTTTGCTTTGTTTTGTTGGTAGAGGGGGGGTTTTCGAGTTTTTTAAGGACAAGATTTTTTGCTTCATACAGGTCTTTTAATGGCTTCATATATTTTGATAAGAACAGAAACGCAATTGCATTACTGTCAGAAAAAGTGTGTGAAGTTGGACTCCTTGTAAATTGGGTTTTAAGGCAGTTTCTCGATTGACATGTCCTTCCTGTCTCTAGTAGTGATTTGGCCTGAATGTGGCTGATCATGGCACTTTAGACGGACATTCCGGAGGAGTTTTTTTAAAAGGGAACAACTTTCCACCCTGACATTGCTGTTTGCTAATTTAATTTTTTTCTTTGTTTCAGATTGAAGTGAGTGAATTCAGATATAATTAAAGCTTGTTAGAGGGCTTTAAAAAAAAAAGTTGATTTGGTGCATGAGAGCAAGTTAACTACTGCTGCTTACCGTTCAGAGACTTACAGGTGCTTGCCTGAATTGCAATAAAGGACTCACATACTGAGCAAGACTTATTTATCTCTTCATTTTGGAGAGCCTCATAAACTGTTATTACAGTTTCTCTACTGACTTTCAAAAGTTTTGAAGTTTGAAAGAGACACCTTTGCAGTTAACAAAGCATGAGCACGGCCAGAACAGAGAACCCTGTTATAATGGGTCTGTCCAGTCAGAATGGTCAGCTGAGGGGCCCTGTGAAGCCCAGTGGTGGCCCTGGAGGAGGGGGCACACAGACACAGCAACAGATGAACCAGTTGAAAAACACCAACACAATCAATAATGGCACTCAACAGCAAGCACAGAGCATGACGGCCACTATTAAGTAAGTTCTAGAAGAAAAATGTGGAGACCCACAGTTCTGTTTACTTTTGTTGTTGACCACTTTATGCCTTAAATTAACCATTTTGATTGCAGATGGAGGGCAGATGACTTTTGTTATAATCAGTAGGTATTTGTAATAGAATAATGAATGTATTTCTGCTGTAATTAACTCAAAGTGGTGAATATAGGCATTTATAAATTACTATGTTTAGAAATAAATGTGCTGTTTGTATAAAGGTGAATAAAATGGTCCCCATTCTGTTGGTTTTTGAGAAAGGCTTACTTTGTAGCCCACTGTGGTGATCTTCCTGTTTCAGTCTCCCAAGTATTAGGGTTACAGGTATGAGCCACTACACCCAACTTTTTTTTTTTTTTTTTGCTTCTAATGTCACCACTGCAACTTGCCCTAGTTTATACAACAGTTAAGGCTATTTGAAAGTTTGAGAAAGAAAATTTATTTAAAATAACAAAATTTTATGTGCATGGGCATTTGCCTGCATATATGTCTGTATGCCACATGCATGCCTGGTGTCTGTGAAGGCCAGAAGAGTGGGTTGAATTTGCTGAAATTGGAGTTGCATATGGTGGTGAGCCTCCTGGTGGGTGCTGGGAATTGAACCTAGGCTAGTGCTCTTAATCAGCCCCCCGACAAAGCAAATTTAATGATTCATACTTTTTATTTTTTAAAGACAGGCTTACCAGGTCATGGTGACGCACGCCTTTAATCCCAGCACTCAGAGGCAGAAGCGGGTAGATCTCTGTGAGTTCAAGGCCAGCCTGGTCTACAGAGCGAGTTCCAGGACAGCCAAGGCTACACAGAGAAACCCTCTGTCTTGCAGGGGTGGAGGAAGAGAGGAAAGAAAGGAAGGAACTGTCACTCTAAAGATTGATTTATAAGGAATTAGCACTTAAAACTTTACCTCAGTGGAAATTGGGCTTCTGTTAAAAATACAAAAGAAGTCTTCCCTGGCTGCTAAAATGTATAGATTATTGGTAGTCGATTCACTGTTGATCTCTAAGAATACCCGATGTTTTGTTTTGATACAGGTCCACACTATGTAACCCTTTAGCTTGGAACTCTGTATATAGACTGTTCTCAAACTCAGGGATCTACCTGCCTGTGCCTCCCAATTGCTGGGATTAGCACAGTGGAATTGGTTTTAACTAGTATAAAAAACATTTTACAAATTATAGTTTATTTTAACACAAACAGGCAGGCAAAATTTAGGCTCCTTTCAGTTCCTAAGGGCAGATATATACTTCATTATGAAAGTATTACTCAAAATTTTTGATTTGAGATAACAGTTTTTCTTCTGGGATTTTCTGTGTCTTAGTGTGTCATTTCTTTGAAGTGTTCTGGATTTTGTCAGCTGTTTCAGAACTGACTCTTCAGTACTTATCTCTATCACCAATTTTCTCACTTTTAAGATATATTTGTAATTTGTGGGCCAGTTTTTGCATTATATCTTATATGTATTGTTGAATTTGACTGTGTGGCAAGCTATTATACTGGGTTGTTACCTGGTGTTTTTGCTTAGAAAGTTCAGTGATTAAAAAAAAAATTCAGTGGTTTCTGCAGAAGCAGAGGATCATGAGTTCAAGGGCAGCCTGGTCTATATAGCAAGCTTTCATTTAAATTTTAAAAAGAAAAAAAGACTCTGCTCTTTATGCAGGCTCTAGCTTTAGATAAATGAAGCTTGGGGTGAAAGGACTGGGATGTCCAGGAACAGATAATGCTAAGTACTAAGTTCTTACTTTGTTAGTACTGACTGTTTACGTAAATTACTGTTAGCTTTTTTTTTTTTTTTTTTTTTTTTTTTTTTTTTTTTTTTTTTGGGAGGCAGCCCAGACTGTCCTTCAAGTAGCTATGTAACAGGGGTAACCTTGAACTCCTAAACGTACTACTTCCACCTCCAAAGTGCTGGAATCACCTGGTGAATGTCATCGTGCCATCATTATATATGTTATTGATTTAGACACCCAGTTTGTATATGATAGTATAGAGGGTTGGGGAAGTAATTGGTGCGGCATCATGGAAGGAATAAGGAATAGAATCGAGACTTAACCCCTGTTAGAAACGTCAGGACTTGTGTGGTTTTGTATGGTGTGTTGAGTCACGGTCTTTCTGTTGTTCAGACTAGCCTGCAACTACCAGGCTCAGGTGGTCTTTCTGCCTCATTCTCCTGGGTAGCAGGGACTGCAGACACTCTTGGTTTTAACAAGAATCAGCTAGTTACCAGAAGTACAGGCTTGGATGACTATAGGGTACTGTGCTGATTTAGAAAGTACTTACTGTTTAAAAGCATCACCTGTTGATATTAAGTTCTGGTTACTAAGTAGCCCACTGGTAACTCCTTGGCTTTTCCAAGGACCTGGGTTCAATTCTTATCATTAAAAAAGAAAAAATAAAAAGTTGCAGTTACTGTTACGGTACAAGAACTTGAAACATTATTGCCAAAGTGTCTCTGAACTGTTGTGGATTTGGCATTTTTTCAAGAAAATCTAGAAACTGAGCCTTTACATGAAATCTAGATGTTAAATGTTTGTAGCTAATTAAAAAGACTAGTAGATCAGATAAGATGTGTTTGACAAACACTTGTACTAAGTTCATCCTCCTTAGATGATTTCTCAAAGAACATGTTTCCTGAAGTTAACACTTTTGTTAATTAAGTGCAGGGAATGTTAAACTTAAGTGCTTTTTAGAGAGGTAGTACTATTTGAAAGGTTTCATTTGTATTAACAGGGAAGCTATGAATTGTGACAACTATGTTTACTATATTCTCTCTAGACCTGGTGATGACTGGAAAAAGACTTTAAAACTCCCTCCAAAGGATCTAAGAATCAAAACTTCGGTAAGTTGGGTTGTAGAATTCAAAAATGGAAGGAAGGGGCAATTACAAGTAAAGTAATTGAATGA